ATTGTATCTTTACATCATTGACTGCGGACAAAGGACAGGACAAGAAATACATATAAAAACAAGTGACAAGGACAACATAAAAAAGACAAGTACAGAGAAAAATAAAGACAAAAAATGAAGAATGAAGCAAAAAATGAAGAAGTCTTAATTAAGAATGCCAATTCATTATCTCTGATAACACAGATAGAGTCAAAAAATTAACACTAAAAAGTCCAAAGTGACCCAAAGATAGAAAACTCTTGTAAAGGAATAACACCCAATTAGTTAATTTCGCACGTATCACAGAATTACTGAATAGTATTACACAAATACTAGGAGCTACTACATATAACCACTAAAAGTTGCTACAGCAGTATATTTATATATAACGACATAAAATTACAGGCAGTTAATTCTGCTGTGGACATATTTTATGCATGTCCGCTACGCGTAATTCAATATGGACATCGTGTCGATTTTTTGTTTTTATTTGACTCCTGATGTTTGATCAATTAACTGGAAACGCGATTTTGGAATCCGAATGTTGGAATTGCTCCTTCTTCAAATGAATAATGTGACCTTGGAATTTATTTTAGATTCCAGGGACATTAATACATGAGACTTTACTCATAATCATTTGATTAGAGAGAATTTTTATTACATTTTCATTCCTCGATCAACGTTATTACAGAATAACAAAAACAAAATAATAACATTTCAAATCGCCCACCTTATAACTACCGATCTATACAAACTGTATCGTGAGTTATACGTGGCTTATATCGGTTTTATTAATATTCTTAAACAGATATGCTCAGAATCCATTAATTGGCATACGCAGCGCATATCATGTTGAAAAACACTTATAAAAAACGACATATTCGACAGCCTATATATTTAAGGAAATCTAAACAAAACGCAAACACCCATCATCAACACTCTCACCCAATTTTACTCGTCGTATAAATATCGGGGGCAGTTTCAGAAAATTGTGTGGTGAACGAAATTGGGAAACTGAATTTTGTTTAATGTATTCGTTAAATACGGTACTAGCCAAAATTATAGGTTCACCTTTATTTATAATTTTTCTCCCCGACTATAATAGCCAGAACAGAGGTAAAAAAAGATTTGAACAACTGAAAGAGTTTATAATCAGGTGAAATGCATATGAAAATTCCATTAAAATTCCTGCAAACCAGGTGTGTGGAAAACCAAGATTTCATACGAAGGACTTCGAATTTCGCTTTCAACACAGCAGCATGCGTCTTTTGATGTGCGGTTGTCCGATTCTCAAACAATTGCAGGGCTGTGTATTCAGCTTGTTCAGCCACTGCAATCGCGACACGAGTAGCACATTTCTTGGCTACATAATGAGTCTGAACCTGGATGTATTTATGAAGAATTTCGTCAGCAAACAAAATCTGGCCTGTGACGGTCTGCTCAGGTTGCGATTGTGCAACATCGGCGCTCGAGGATCGAGACGTTTGCGCAGGCAACATTGCTGGTGCGAATGCAGCTAACTCGCCTTGCGAACGAGTCACCTCGTTGCTAGCGGTCAGAATACTTTTTTGGAGTCTGGTCATTTGAGTGACACAAAACTCTTTATTGATTCGGGAGTCTCGCGTCTTTGTTCGCTTGACGATCTCCTGCGCCCAATGAGCGTGATCCGAATCGGTATCAGAACCTAGCTTCTGAAACTTTTGCCAGACTTGATACTCATACTGGTCACACACCCATTTGTCAAAAAACGGAGCTGCCTCAACACAATATCTAATAACATGTCGGGCAACAGCGTTCTTATTTCGTTCGGCTAATGTATTCAAATGAGCACGGGTACGAACGGGCTCTAAATAAGGCCGATTTTTGAATTTTTTATCATTATCGCAAAGGGGCACCGCTTTCGATAAGGGCTCCTGTCCTTTGTCTTCGTCTTCCACCACCAAATGACGGGGTTGTTTTTTCTGCTTTCTAGCAGGACGACTAGAAACTGTGGGCATATTCGCTGCCGTTGTCTGCTCCTGATTTCGATCAACGTCGTTATCGTTTTGACCGTCGAATTCAGCTAGAGTGGCAAACCTATTATTGCCCAACAGCAAGTTTTCATTCGTAGCCTCAGCAGCTTGAAATCTATTTCTATTTCGACGTTGACGTCTAAAGAAACTTTTTGTCAGTGGTGGTTTCGAGGTCACCGTATTATTCGGCGGCACTCTCTGCTGCTGTGTCGGGTATTGATTACCTGATCGTTGCTGTTGTTGTCGTCGTTGAGGACGAAAAGGGGCTTGGTTTTGGCCGCCAAATCGTTCCCGGCTATAACAGTTTTGATAATTTCGATACGGGCCATTACTCTGGCCTCCGGCTCCGTTTTGTCCGTAATCATATCGGAACGGGCCATAATTATAGCCACCGAATCGATTCTGATATGAATTTCAATATCGAAACGCTCTGTCTTGACTCTGTCGCGAGTTCTGCAACTGTCGGATCTGCCCTTGAAAATGATTTTGATAGCCTCGATTATAATTATTTTGAACATAACCATTTTCAACTGAAGCCTCCTGATCACGGAAATCTGGAGGCCACCAATCCATCAGTGTAGCCTGCTGTGGCTGCCTGGGATTGCAACTCTCTCGAAATCCTTGTCCATTCGGAATGTCGGGCTCGTCTAGATCAATTTGCGAGTTCTGATATCTATGTTGTGTCACGAAACGATCTCCTGCGGTCGTCATGTCTCCTCCAAATTCAGCACTGTCACGCTTTCGGACGATACTGATACACAGTGAGAGGCAATTAGCTCGAAAAAATAAAAGAGGAGGAGGTCGTATCTACAACACACCCAATCTTCTAGAAAGAGAATGGCTATAAAAGCACTAATGACACGCAAGGGAGAATTGAGTGTTTGTTTGATTCTAAAGATTGATTACCAACCGGTTTCGCTTTTATTACAACAAAACTTCTTCAGAGTATCTAGAACACGAAACCAAACACTTAAAATATGTAAAAAAGGGTTCAAATAAAAAAACAACCAAAAAAACGACAAAAAACAAAACACAAAAAAACGTTCTAGACCACGTTAAGCGGGTATTTCTAGCCTGTTCCGTTCAGGAGTTATACGGGTTTTCCAGAGACCCCCGATTTCGGCCAGTTGCCCCTGGATCAGCCGAAAATAGGTCTAGAGAGGGGTAATTGACCGCGCTGAGCCGAGTGATGATGTTTGTTTCCAGTATCAAAGCTCCAAATCCAAAATTCAAATCCAAATCGAAATCCGAAAATCCAAAATCCAATGTTGGATCCTTGAAAATCATTGTGGTTTTCTAAAGCCCTGAAAACCCTCTAGAAACCCGGTTGAAAATTTTTCTTCTTCTATAGTTCGATGTCCCGCGGACTTGGCTACAAATTGACGAAAACTGTTTCGGAATATCTCGTTGCATTACCGAGTTATTCACAGAGGCGCATAGTATCTTATATTTTGAATCCTATAATAGTACTTCGATCCTTTGAGTCGATTAGTCGATTTTTTCATACGCACTTCGAATTGTAAACTACTTTCTACTAACTTTTTGTAAACAAATGCAAAAGGAAACCGTTAGTCGAAAATACTTTTACAGATAAGTATTCTGTACGATAAAGAACTCTTTTTTTCAGCAGCAGATAGACCATTCGATTCAGCGCAACGAGCTCTATCTGGCACACAATAGAATGAGAATGGCACTCACGCTGATCCTGAATATCAAGTTTATTTTACTAAATCTCGATGAAACAGCGTCAACGCTATTCATCGACAACGTCAACTGCGGCGCTATTCATCGATTACGACATTTTCAAGTAGATTATAACTCTCTATAGCAAATTCTGATTGGTCATATGCAATTATCTATATCCTCTAGGTTGCGTAGCCTTGTATCTTACCT